ATATTTCTTAATTTGTAAGTCCCATGTTTCCAAGCTTCATGAATATAGAAAGGTCCCGTCCATTTTTCTCTAAATTTGTCACCATGGACATTCTGAGAACTACTATCAAAGAGTAGTACTTCTTCTCCAATCTCATATCTGTATGGTTTCACTTTTTCATCAAATTTTTCTTTTTGTTTATCTTGTGCTTTCTTAATATTGTTCTTTGCAATCTCTCTTGTTTGCCCTAAACGTTCTGTGATTTGTTTCACATGTTCATCAACTCGCCATTCAAGTTCTTCCTCCTCTTCTTCAAATGTTGTCTCCAACATTAAAGGAGTTTTCTCTTTTCTTCCGTACATTAAGAAGAATGGTGTGAATTTTGTAGATTTTTGTGGTTTAGTTCTATAGGCGAATAAAGCTGATTGAACAAATCTATCCCATTCTCCATTATATTGTAAGATATATTTTGCAATGGTTTCGCACAATGTTTTATTAAAACGTTCTGTTAATCCATTTGTTTGTGGGTGATAAGCTGATGCAAGAGCATGTCTTATTCCCATTTCATTGCAAAGTGAGTCTACTACTTCATTCAGAAAAGATGATCCTCTATCTGAAAGTAGGACTTTTGGTGCTCCGTGTCTACAAATGATTTCTTCATAAATAAATTTTGCTACTGTACTTGCTTTAGTATCTGATATGGCACGAGCTTCTGGCCATTTGGTTAAATATTCTGTTGCTACAATAATATAACGATTTCCATTTGTTGTTTCTGCTAATGGACCAACAATGTCAATTCCGACTTGGTCAAATGGGTCTCCTACTGGTATTGGATGTAATGCTTCTGTTCTCTTTGGCTTTCCCCGTCTTTGACAGGAATCACAACTTTTTACATATTGTTCCACTATTTTATACATCCGTGGCCAGTAGTATTTGCTTCTAATTCTTTGGTAAGTTGATTCTACATTAAAATGTCCTGCAAGAATATCTGAATGCTCTCCAAACAGTATTCTTTCTACTTCATCTTGTCTAATTACTCTTCGTTCTTCATCATTTTGGATAAAATATAATTTGTCATTAGATATTCGAAAATTACTTGCTTTGTTGATTATTTGCTTGCTTAATTTTGGAGGTATGTTTCTTGGAGGTTGGTGATTAGTAAGGTAGTATTTGATGCCATTGTATAGTTGAATTTCCATCCTGAGATATGTGTTATTATTATTTTACTCTCTTAATTAATGGGTAGTTTAACGACATTCCGGTCTTCTTGATAGAGCATCTGCATTCCCATTATTTATCCCAGGTTTATATTCAACTTGATACTGAAATTCTTCCATATTCACACGCCAGTTTTGAATTCTTTTGGACCCTCCATTTGTGTTCTTTAAATGTTTTAATGGTTGATGATCAGTAACATGTAGAAATGGTTTTCCAAGCAAGTATAATCTAAATTCTTGGGTACAAGCCCAATGTAAAGCAAGAAATTCTAATTCAGTAGCAGAATATCTTTCCTCTGCTCCTCTTATGGTTCTACTAGCATAAGCTATTACTCTTCCTCTTCCTTCATCATCCTTTTGTTCCAGGACTGCTCCTAATCCGGTATGTGATCCATCTGTATGTAGAATAAATGGTTTATCAAAGTCAGGATATGCCATTACTGGTGCATTTATTAATAATTGTTTAAGTTTATTGAATGCTTCTTCTTGTTCTTTTCCCCATTGGAATTCTTCATCCTTTTTAACCAGATTGTACATTGGTTTGGCTATTTTTGAGAAGTCTTTCATAAATCGTCTATAGTAGGAGGCTAATCCTAAGAATGAGCGAATTTCCTTCACTGTCTTAGGTGTTGGCCAATCTCGAACTTTTTCTACTTTCTTTGGGTCAGGTTGTAATCCATCTCTTCCTACTATATGTCCAAGGAATTCCAATTGTGTTTTTGCAAATGAGCATTTGTCTTTTCCAAGCTTTAATCCAGCTTGTCTAAGACGTGAAAATACTATTTCTAAGTGTTCTAAATGTTCTTCAAAGCTTTTAGAATATATATTTATATCATCTAAGTATACTACAACAAATCGTCCAATTTCTTTTGCTAATACTTTATTCATTAATCTTTGAAAAGAAGCTGGTGCATTAGTTAGTCCAAAGGGCATTCTGTTGAACTCATATAATCCATGTTTTGAAATGAAAGCTGTTTTCTTTTTATCTTCTTCAGCTACTTCCATTTGCCAATA